TGCTCCATCTTACTCTTCTGGCTCCCAAATTTATTATTCCTTCCCTATCTCAAAAAGACTTGGAAATTCTAAGCCTAGTCACACACTCCCTACACTCCTGCTGCCAAATATTACCTGATACTAGAATCTAAGGAGTTGTCATCTATTGTCAGTAGTGCAAACAGATGTGGAACACTGTCTGAAAGCTCAGATGCTGAAGACCTAGGTAAGCTGTTATCAGCAGATGTCAAATGACATTCCTTGATCAGTGCTCTGACACTTTGAACTCTCTCACACCTTTTCTTCTACTTCACTTATCCTTGATCTCAGATAGACCTACAGTCCTGAGATGCATTCTTTAGTCCCAGTCCAGCAACTTCCTTCAAGTCTTCAAGGCTCTCATTCCTGGTGGACCAGTGAGGCTTGGTTGATCATGGTGGATCAACTCTGTCTGCAGCACCCTTCATTACTTTGCACTCATTTCTCTGCATCCACTCAACACAACCACAATCCTGGATGGACCAATAGCCCACAATATAATTTCTTTGGTTTTACAATCTACCCTGATCCCAGCTGGGGAAAATCAATCAACCATGATTGGCCTCATTATTAAATCAGGGTTCATCCTCAGTTGAATAGTCATTGATACCAGGGAACCATTTTCCCTGATCATAGTGATCTACTTCCCCAGTTGTCATCCAGCAGATAGAGTTGGAAGTTAAGCTCTGAGAGTCAAGCTCAAAAACGTCTGATATGATTGCTAAGAAGCTATCCAAAAAATCCCTGATAGTATTTATTCACTAATCACTAATTCAAACCTTTTCTGCTTTCCTCAACCCTCCAAATCAACTGTCATCCTTAAGGCCTACAGAAAACAAAGTTGACATGCTTCCTGACAAAATTCAGGCCATCAGTAGCTGCACTTGTCTTGGGGAAAAGGCTATCAGCATGTACTAAGTTGCAGTAAGATAGGAGTAAGAAGTTTTGGCGGGCTATTGCTTAGTAGGGGAACTATAGAGAACAATTACACAGTACACTTCAGAAGGCTGGAAGAAAGGGTTTTGAAAGTTTTCACCATAATAAAGTGATCAGCGAGCAGGTAGATATGTTGTGACTTGATTTAAACAGTGTGCAATACAGGTATGCATTCAATATTATGGGGTAGCCATTAATATACACGATTTCAATGTTTTCTCAATCAGTCAAAAGTTAGAAGCAAGAAATTACATCCCTCATTCTACTGACGGTGACCCCTTATTAATTTATGAAGTCTTCTCTGACCACTTTACCTTCACCCTCAGTGATGTGTCTCCTCCTGTTCACGTAAGCACATTTCCAATTCTTCACACACCTATTGCCTTTCTCTGTCTTCTCTCTCTCTCGCTCCCTCTCTCTCTCTCTCTCTCTCTCTCTCAAATTTTCTCTAATATCTTCCTCATTAGCCTTGAGTCTTTAAAGTTATAAATATATGGCCTAAGTTTTTCTCTTTATCCAGCTTTACTGAAGCAAAATTGGTATGCAAAAAATAAATACTGTACACAGCATATACAATTTTGTGAGTTTGGACATACATCTACATTTTTGTTACCATCATGACTCCTCTTATGATCCTTTATCCTTCAGCAATCATTGATTGCATCTTTCCCCTTCTCCCTCCACCATCAGACTTCTGGAAAGATGTATGTGTGCTCACGGTTTCCACCACTTGTCAATCTCCTACTTACTTATTAATTTCCTCCATTATTCTGGCCTCCACAGAAGCTACTTTTGTCTAGGTCATCAGTGACTTTCAGGTTGCTAAATCCACTATTAGTCTTAGTATTCTTCTTACTGGACAGCTTGGTAGTATTGAATACTGCTGACCATTCTGTCCTTCAAAACTCTGCTCTTTACAATACTAGTTCTTTCTTACTCCTTTTGGGGCTGTCACTTCTTTTACAATCTTCCAAATGGTAGGTACCCAGGGTCCCTTCTGAAGTCTGTAACCTTTCTTCACTTCTAAACTTTAGAACCTCCTCCCCGACCCCTGCCAAACTTATACCTATATAACAAACAATCCACTTGACATCTCTAACTGGACCTTCCACAGACGTCTCCAACACAAGTTCAAAATGAACTTGCCATCTCACTCTTGCCCCATCCAATGCAAGTTAATACCCTCCTTGTGTCTCTCACTTCAGCGATGATGACATCATCCTCACAGTCACCAAAGCCATGATCTGGGAGTGTTCAAGTAGTTACCACACCCTGCCACTTTCCATTTTATTAGCATTTCTCAAATTGGCTCCTGGCTTTTATAAGCACTGCCAGTTTTCCTCTAGGCCCTTATCATTACTGCCTGTGACTATTAAAACAGCTTACACCACGAGAATCAACTTCAGGAGATATGGGTTACTGACTCTAGGAGACAGATTCCAGCATCAATGACAACTTGGAGTCTGTAGCTAACTTAAAAGTAGACAACTCTGATTCACAATTTTTCTGGTCGTGTTATTGATGTCAAATTGTGCTGCTGGATGTCATGGGAGTTTGGGCCATATCTCCAGACTATTTCCAAAAGAGAGATTCTGCAAATAATGCATATAATAAAGGGAAATCTTTCTCTGTCATAGCATTTCATAGCTCCATTTCTCGTTTAATCTCATTCTAAAACCGTAAGAACTGGCATCACACTTTCCTGGAGAAAATTGGCTGCTGTAGGGACTTTTAACTTTATGTTGGAGATGTGATTCTGGGAGGTCCCCTCTCTTCTTGTTGAAGCTTTGACACCTTGTGACACTTTGCCTAGGAACAAGGAAGGGACACAGTTTTGCTAGATGTCATTGACACAGCGTTTCTCTGGATTACCCTTCATCTACAGCACCATTCACTCATTTGAAAATATTAATTGAACACCTCCCTCATTCTGGGCAAAGTTCCAAGTGCTGGAGGTCAGCGGTGAAAAAAATACAGGGGAAGACCCTGCCATCACAGAGCTCACTTCTCAAGGGCTCAGGCGCCCACTTCATGCTTCCTTTCACAACAAATCCACTTTCCAGTTACTTAAAAGTGCTATCTGTAGTTTTCTCGCCTCACTTTCTCCACAGTGAACGTTCTATCACTCAACTGGTCTAAATGACCACTCAACTGGTCAAATGACCAGCATACTGCCCAATCAACTAATCCTTCTGCCCTCATCTTTGTTTACTTATGTATTCAAATCCCTGCTGCTTCCTTCCTGAAACACAACTCATAAATGTCAAGACAACACAGTATCATTACTATTTTCTTCTCTTCTAAATCTAGTCAACGACTCCCTGAAACCCCAGAGCCAGAGCAAAGGAGTCCCAAAGACCTTGGCTCAGAGCATTGACATTTGGTCTCTGTCCCATGAAGCCCCACCTCCTGACTCTTCTTTCAGTGATTCTTCACAATAAGCCCTGTCCAGTAGGAATGCTGGGACATCTGTTGTGAATGTAAAGCCAACTTGGGCAGTGCCTTACGTGTGCTGAAACTAGTGAAGGGCAGTGGCTGTTACTTCTCCCAGTATTTGATCCCAGCCCCTCCCAAAGTGGAATGTTGTTCATGAGGTCATTGTTCTCCAGGACACTTCAGAGACGATGCACATCAGTGGTACAAGGACTAGGTAATCACCCCAAATGAAATACCATGAATAAAACTGAGTTAATGTTCATGTTAAGAGGACTCATTGGAGAATCTGGGTGTGAAGGACTCTTCCTGTAGGGGAAACTCCTAGAGTTGGAGTCAAGGACCAGCTCTTTCCTTCCCACCCAGAGGCTGTTTCCTCCAAAAACATTTTCATTCATTTCATCACCACCCCAAAATCTAGCGTTGCCTTGTAAATGGCAAATACAATCAAGATAACATATTAAAAATCATTTAAATAGCCTGTTGTGACTCAAGCAGAACGCCACGTGGAAGCCAAGTGAGGCCACACCTCATGAGAGAACTACCCTTCTCTTAGGAAATCCCTGTAGACAATGGGGAAGATCAGCTACTTTTGGTGCCGTGTTTAGCAGCACCTCTCATATCTGCCCCAGGAGGTTGTTCCCCCTCTGCAATACCCAGCATGCAAAAGGAACTGCGCAGAGCAGTTTTCCACCCTCAGCCTAAGTCACAGCATCGAGGATCCTTCCATGGTCACCTTATAACCTCATTACACTCAAACCCCATGGAAGGAATTGTGGTTTCCTGAAGCCCCAGAACTGCCTTGGCTCAGGGCATTGACACTCACTCACTCTCGCCTGGGCCCCACCTATCCACACCTCCCTTATGGCTGAGGCTCCTAGACACTGCTGTTCTAAAGTAAGGGTGGTGGGCCTGGATGCCCTGGTCTACTAGTAACTTCACCACTACTCAAAGGCCTCCCAGAGAGCTGGGGTTCAATGGAAGTTTGAAGAATAAATGAGACAGTGAGTTGTGGAATTATTTATTAAGTTATAATTTCATCTATATTCTCAGATAGCCAAGCAAATCCAGGTAAATACACATATTATTTAACGTCACGAGGAAGACCAAAGAGAAAGCTAGAATTGATCTTACTTTCTCTTACTCTTCACGCTGTTTTGTGTTCTGTCCTTACTCACATCTAAGGAAATAGCCACACACTGCCATGTTACCCTGCTCCAAGTCACAAAACTACATGGGTTTCCCAGTTGGTTGAAAAATTAACAAGAATCCCTCTTAAACTATATTAACAGCAATAAATGTGTGACTACTGTCCTTCATAACCTTCCATTCTGAAGCTAAGTAAACCTTCCATTAAAAGGGACATCAGAAAACTTCCAAAGGAAACAAAGGTCAAGTTCAACGTTTCCCAAATAAACAGGAAGACAAAAATTTTTCTACAATATTATGCCCTCAGCCTACCTGGGGCTCCACTACTGAGAAGACTGACTTCTCTCTCCAAACACAAATGAACAATGAGCTTCATTTCACATGGGGCAGAAGAAGCTACTGAATGTGGCCCAGGCTACGGAACAATGTCACCTGGACCCACAGTGGTTCTTGCGGAGGACAATTCATGCTTGGGCCCCCTCTTCCTCATTTCTAGAAGCCCGATCATTCAGGGATTGGAGGAACCTAGGAACACGTCTACTGAACTTGGCCCAGTGTTTCAGGACTTCAATCCTGCTGGTTTCAGCATAGGCCCTTGGGCCCCACAGGAACTCATAGCAAGCAGGATCACTGTTGGGGACCTGGCGGTACTCTAAGTACTGCTCCTGCACAAAATCTTCAGTGATGAGCTTCCTGGGATTCCCATAGAAGTAGTGCTCCCTCCCAGCATAAACCCCCATCATACTCAGCCCTTCCCAGAAAACCTGTTCAGAGGCACAGTTGCCTTCCACAACGATGATACTCAGGGTGATGATCAGCAGGCCCGTCTTGGGAATGCCCTGCTTATCACTAAGCAACCCATCATATGTCAGCCCCAGGGAAGTGACAAGGATATAGGAGTGGCTGGAGGGGTCCACTTCCCTCATTTCAATGCCAAAGACCAGATGCAAGCAATCACAGGCTCTGCTGAAGACTGCAGGGAAGTAATCCTGGTGACTTCTCCTGACATAATCTAGCATCTCTGCCTTGGTGATTGGCTCCTTCATTTGATACTTGAGGAGCAGGGATGGCACCAAGGATATTGCTTCTCGCATTAAGGACTCAGGGCTTACCAGCCTGCTCCGGGGACCAGACCTTCCCCTCCACGGCTTCTGGAGCCCTGGTTGAATTGGCTCCCTGGACTGGACACCGAGCTAGCGGGGGACAGGTGGCTCTCTGAGGACTCTGGGGACAACACGGTGTCCCAGCAGGAGGCACATCTCTTGGAGTGACTGGTATCAGAAGAGTAGAGGAGAAACAAGGGTTGCCAGTATCCCCCTCCTCCTCAGCCACAGGGACCTGCGCATCCACCAGGCCCGGGGCCTCTCTTTGGGCCTGAGCATTCCCCTCCAGCTTAGGTTGCTGGCTCTTCTGACCATGAGGCATCATGACTTTCCTTGAGGACAGCAAGCAGGAGGGTGGGCAGGAGCTTGGGGATGGGGACTCACAGGCCTGGAGGAGAGAAGGAGCACGTGATTGTCCTCACTGAGAACTGCATCCTAATCCCCTACACCCCATAGGTTTTCTTCTAGCTGGTGGAATGGGGAGGTGAGGGACTTAGGTCATGTGTGTTCGGTAAGGGGACTCCCTCTCTCCTCACCTTGACTCCTGGCAGATCCTGGACAGCTCCTTCTGATGATCAGGCTTGGCTCCCTCTCACGTCCTGGTGTCTCCTCTTACTCCAGGCCCTAAGCTCCCTGAGACCTGGGAGAGAAAAGATAATGAAGCTCATCTGGACACCCCTGCAGGCTGACAGAAGTAGCAGGGGTCAGGGGTCCTCCTGTCCTCAAAGTATTCATACTTACTCCTCACCAGACCTGTGCCCTTCCCCTCTGCTGACCTGTGCATCTATCTTGCAGGCCAATGCAACCATCTCCATGACCCTTAACCCATCTCTGAATAGGAAGGCAGGGGTGGCATCTCCTTCCCAGAGTCCTGCCTGGAGCCACCCTGGCCTGACAGGAATGATAGGTTTTTCATGTCTCAGATCAGGGGTCTTCTTGTTCCTCCAGGGTCCTGCTGGGACACTCCTCAGAAGCCACACTCCTAAGAATAAGGCCCTCTCCTCCCTGATACCTCAGAGGCAGAAGGGAAGGGGCCCTGCATCTGGCCTCTCTGGCCATTGCTAAAATGAGGATAGAGGTCCCCCTCTGATCTGGAGTGCAAAGTTTCTTCATTCGTCCCTTTGAGTTCTCCCCTTGAGCCCAGGCATGATCCCAACCCTCTAAAGACCTGTGTCCCTCTCCCTCAGATTGTTGAGTTGGATTGTAGGCCATGACTCTGCTTGAAAGCAGGGGTAGGGCTGGAACCCATGTGTCCTGTGTGCCGGGACCCTCAGTTCTGCCTTGTCTCTTGACAGTACCTGGGCCCTTTCTCACTCTCCTGAGGCACTATTCTTTCTACCAAAGCCTTAACCTCTCAGACCCGAATACAGATGTTAGAAATCACCTTTCTGGTCAAAGTGTGTGGGACAGTCCAGTACTGGAGGCAGTGTGTTGCTGGGCCCTTCCAGGTCATCTCAGTCCTTACTAAGTCCTCAGCTTGACTGCCAGCAGTGGATGTCTCCACACTGTTCACCTGAGGTTCTGTTCCTTCATGCAAAAGTTATACTTCACCGTCCTGGTCACCCTGCATGGGGATTCCCGGACTGACAGCGGGTGTAGAACTTCCACGGGTTCTCCTTCTCCTGGAGTCTAAGGTTCTCTACCTCACTGTCTAGGCCCCATCCCCTCTGACCAAGACCCACAGTGGTTTCTGACGCCACAAAACAAGAGTTAGGGAACCTCCTAGACACAGTGCCTAGGCCACCCAGGGCAAACAGCAGAGGTAAACTGGGAATTTGCCACCCATCCATCTTCCTTCAGGGCCTTTCCATTGCCTCCAACTAGAACCTAGAATTGTCATCTGCCAGTCTCATGTGTCCCCCTCAGACCAAGGTTCCGATCCCCATGGTCCCTTGAGGGGGAAAAAGGAGGTGTGGAAAGGGAGAGGTGGTCATCTGAATAGAAGCCCCTTGTCCAGCTTTATCAATAAGAGTGAAGCCTCGTCTGTTCCCCTCAGACCAAGGTTCTGACTCCCATGGTCCCGTGAGAGGAAAAAATGAGATATGGAAGGGGAAGGGGTGAGCACTTGATTAGAAGCTCCTCCTTGTGCATGTCTAACAGTAAGGGTGTGGATGGATTCTTTGGGATCCTTAATGTTGGGGGAGTTTATTTTGTCCAGTTCTTACCCCAACTCTCAAAGAGCCCTGGCCTCTCCTCCCCACCGTCCTCAGTGGAAAACTCTGATTCCTATTGTCCCCTGAGGCAGAAGGAGGGGGTGGAAGAAGGGCAATGGCAGTCCCTGATTATAAGCTCTGCATGGGACCTGTGGGAGAGGTGGGGGCAAACAACAGAGGCAGGACTAGATTATTTGGTGAAACCTCTCTCTTTGGTTATGCTTCCTCTGTGCACCTTCAAGTCTTACCTGGAGCCCTCACAGAACTGGACCCTATTCTGTTCACAGATTTCAGACCAAGGCTGTGACTTCCAGGAATCCCTGGGGCAGAAGAAGGGGTGGGGTTTAATGAGTGCACTCTTATGACTTAACACTCCCTGGGGTGCAGGGGCAACATCAGAGGTAGGGCTGGGTTATTTGGGGGACCCACTATCTGGAGGGGGGGCTTCCTCCATCCACCCTTAGCTCTCTCCTGGTCCCCTCTTGACCCCTGGCCTCCCCCTCTCCTCCTCAGACCAAGGTTGTGACTCCCAGGGTTCCCTGGGGCAGAAGGTGGAAGTAGGGGAGGGGTGAGCAGGCTCCTGTGACTAGACACCCCATGTGGTACGGGGTGACAACAGAGACAGGGCTGAATTATTTGGGGACCCTTTATCTGGGGGTGGGGTTTCCTCTGTCCACCTTCACTAATCCCCTCCTTCCCTCCCAGAGCCCGGACCTGTCCCTTCCTCAGACAAAGGCTGTGACTACCAGGAGTTCCTGGGTCAGAAGGAGTAGTGGGGGAGGGGTGAGCATACTCCTGTGACTAGAGGTTCCTCAACTCCTCCCTCCCCTCCCCACCACCGCTCTCCCAGCTTCCCCTCTCCCCCGTGTGCCAGGGAGACAAGAGCACAGCTAGAGTATTTGGGGACCCTAACTCTGGGAGGGATGTTTTGTTTCTCTGCTGTCCACCCTCAGGTCTTCCCTCATTCCCTCCCAGAATACAGGTCTCTCTCTCCCCTCCTCACACCAAAGCTGTGACTCCCAGGATTCCCTGGGGCAGGAGGAGGGGTGGGGAGGGGCGAGCGAGCTCCTGTGACTAGACACCCCCATGCGGGACATGGGTGACAAGCGGGACAGGGATGGATTACCTGGGGACTCTCTATTCGGGGGTGGGGTTTCCTTCGTACATCTTCAGTCCTCCCCTCCTTCCCTCCCAGAGCCCGGACCCGCTGCTCCTCAGACCAAAGCTGTGAATCCCAGGATTCCCTGGGGCAGGAGGAGGGGTGGGGGAGGGGCGAGCGAGCTCCCGAGACTAGACACCCCCATGCGGGACATGGGTGATAAGCAAGACAGGGATGGATTACCTGGGGACTCTCTATTCGGGGGTGGGGTTTCCTTCGTACATCTTCAGTCCTCCCCTCCTTCCCTCCCAGAGCCCGGACCCGCTCCTCCTCAGACCAAAGCTGTGAATCCCAGGATTCCCTGGGGCAGGGGGAGGGGTGGGGGAGGGGCGAGCGAGCTCCAGTGACTAGACACCCCCATGCGGGACATGGGTGACAAAGTCCTCCCCTCCTTCCCTCCCAGAGCCCGGACCCGCTCCTCCTCACACCAAAGCTGTGACTCCCAGGATTCCCTGGGGCAGGAGGAGGGGTGGGGGAGGGGCGAGCGAGCTCCCGTGACTAGACACCCCCATGCGGGACATGGGTGACAAGAGGGACAGGGATGGATTACCTGGGGACTCTCTATTTGGGGGTGGGGTTTCCTTCGTACATCTTCAGTCCTCCCCTCCTTCCCTCCCAGAGCCCGGACCCGCTCCTCCTCACACCAAAGCTGTGACTCCCAGGATTCCCTGGGGCAGGAGGAGGGGTGGGGGAGGGGCGAGCGAGCTCCAGTGACTAGACACCCCCATGCGGGACAAGGGTGACAAGAGGGACAGGGATGGATTACCTGGGGACTCTCTATTTGGGGGTGGGGTTTCCTTCGTACATCTTCAGTCCTCCCCTCCTTCCCTCCCAGAGCCCGGACCCGCTCCTCCTCACACCAAAGCTGGGACTCCCAGGATTCCCTGGGGCAGGAGGAGGGGTGGGGGAGGGGTGAGCGAGCTCCAGTGACTAGACACCCCCATGCGGGACATGGGTGACAAGAGGGACAGGGATGGATTACCTGGGGACTCTCTATTCGGGGGTGGGGTTTCTTTCGTATATCTTCAGTCCTCCCCTCCTTCCCTCCCAGAGCCCAGACCCGCTCCTCCTCACACCAAAGCTGTGAATCCCACGATTCCCTGGGGCGAGAGGAGGGGTGGGGGAGGGGCGAGCGAGCTCCCGTGACTAGAGGTTCCTCTACTCCTCCCTCCCCACCCCGCCCCGCATGCCAGATTGACAACCGGGTGCACCTAGATTATCTGGGGACCCTAACTCTGGGTGAGATGTTCCTCTGCCCGCCCTTAGCTCTCACCTCAACACTTCACAAGCTGAGCCTCTGAGGGACGGACCTGAAGCACGGCGCAACCTCAGCCTCTGAGGATTCTAGAAGTCCGGCAACGTCACATCCGGTGTGGTGCCCGGGGTCTCCCAGGGCTGACAGGAGGGGCGGAAGGGAATTCTCCCAAGACCCTCCACCCTCCCTCTTAGGGTCCTGGCTTTGGTTCCTGGCGGAGCCTGGACCCCTGTCCTGTAGGGACCTCAGTCCACTCTCCCTGGGGCAGGAGGAGGGTGGGGGAGGGGCGAGCGAGCTCCAGTGACTAGACACCCCCATGCGGGACATGGGTGACAAGCGGGACAGGGATGGATTACCTGGGGACTCTCTATTTGGGGGTGGGGTTTCCTTCGTACATCTTCAGTCCTCCCCTCCTTCCCTCCCAGAGCCCGGACCTGCTCCTCCTCACACCAAAGCTGTGAATCCCAGGATTCCCTGGGGCGAGAGGAGGGGTGGGGGAGGGGCGAGCGAGCTCCCGTGACTAGAGGTTCCTCTACTCCTCCCTCCCCACCCCGCCCCGCATGCCAGATTGACAACCGGGGTGCAGCTAGATTATCTGGGGACCCTAACTCTGGGTGAGATGTTCCTCTGCCCGCCCTTAGCTCTCACCTCAACACTTCACAAGCTGAGCCTCTGAGGGACGGACCTGAAGCGCGGCGCAACCTCAGCCTCTGAGGTTTCTAGAAGCCGGCAACGTCACATCCGGTGTGGCGCCCGGGTCTCCCAGGGCTGACAGGAGGGGCGGAAGGGAATTCTCCCAAGACCCTCCACCCTCCCTCTTAGGGTCCCGGCTTTGGTTCCTGGCGGAGCCTGGACCCCTGTCCTGTACGGACCTCAGTCCGCTCTCCTCAGACTCCCAGACTCCCCTTAGGTGGCAGAGGGGTGAGGGGATTGGTCAGGGTAACCATGGGTGACCGTGATGTCCAGGGCTTTCCAGGGCTGACCACAGGGGTGGAGATACATTCTGTGGGACTGCTCTCCATGGAGGGAGTGTGTCCCCTCATTCCTCAGAGTCCTGTTCTTGGCTCCTGGTAATAACTGTATCCATATTTTCTATGGACTTCCGTCTGCTCCAGTCACATTTCCAACACTCCCTGAGGTGGCGGAGAGGTGAAGGGAGTGGCCACGCTGAACATGCTGCTGTCCGGGACCTTCCAGGGCTTACCACAAGGCCAGAGTTGGAATCTGGGGTTCCTTTCCTTGATGGAG